GGCTCTGCGCTCTGTGCTGTGTGGTCTGATGAGTGAACAAACCAAGCAACTCTAAAGGGGGGGAGCAGAGAGAGGGAAAAAGGAAAGCAGCTAAACCCATTAACTGCCACTTAGGCAACAAGTAAGTTAAAGGTGACAATATAGATTCCACCTTTACAAAATAGGGGGTACTAAGGGTTTTAAAATAAGGTATAAGCACAAAGACAACCACTATAATAGAAATACAAACTTTCCTAAATACTAACTTAAGATAAAAAAACCACATTCAACAAACATGAAAAGGCTGAATATACTTCTTAAATGGAAAAAGATTTTCATTTTGCCTTACTCAGTATCAGCTCTATTTTAGAGACACATCTAAGACAGAATGATTTAGAAAGGCTAAAAATAGAAGAATAGTCAAAGGCATTTCAGGCAGATGGAAACACTAAGAAGGTGGGGGCAGCAATACTGATAACAGATAAAGTTGCACGCAAACCATAGCAGGGAAGGGTTTCCTAACTATGGCTGTCAATCCAATTCCAAAAAGGACATAAGAAGAGAAAACGGACGCATCTCACTACAGGGCAGAAATAAATGGCAGAAAAATAAACACCCGGATAGAAAAATAAAGAACATGAAATCAAAAGACAACTCACAAATGGAGAAAAATTTTTGCAATAGATTTAACAAAGGGCTTTAATACTTGTTTATAATAGTAATGCCTATTTTATAATCTTAAAATAATTAGGGGAAAAAGAAGAAACTCTCACCAATGAAAAAACTGGCAAAAGATGTGAAAAATATTCGCCAAAGTTGGTACAAAAATAGTCCTTAAAAAGTATTCAACTATCCCGACACTAAGAGAAATTCATTGCCAAATCCCACTGAGGTACCATTTCTCACTCGTTCTATTGTCAGAATGTAGAATACCACGTTCTGTTGGGGATGAGGGGAGATCAGCCTCTCTCACATCCTGTGCTGGAAATACGAATTGGTCCAGCCATCAGGGAGGGACTTTGGCCACTTCTAACAGAACTTCACCTGCATCTACCTTCTGACACATTGTCACTTCTAGGAGCTTCCAATAGTATGAAAATACATACTTTTTTCATATTTTCTTTGAAATATTATTTGTAGTTGTAAAACACGGGCAATAACCTACATACATACATAGAGGAGTGGTTAAATGAATTCTTATATATTTACCCAATGGAATACTATTAATATTTTTTTTTAAATGAGGAAGATCTCAATGAATCTGAATTTGCAGCCATTACCAGAATATATTTTTAAATGAAAAAAGCACAGTTTACCAAGAAAGAGAAATTAGAAAACAGACATATTTGTTCATCTGTGCAAAGAGAAACACAGGAAGGGTTTACTGGGAAGTAATGAGATTGATAAACTATAGAGATTGGGTGGGAAGGGGGGGTGTCTCTCCTCTGAGAACCCGGTTTTGTATTTATGGAAGTTGTTTAGTAACTCCTCTGAACTACTGTTGTGAAGTCTGTTCTCTGTTGTATATGGCCGGGGAGTCTGATTCATTTAGGTTAGTGGTGTGCTGATTAGTAATTGGAGAGAGGTTTCCTAAAGTGCTTGGAATCAATAGTTCTCTTTGCTGAGGGGCCCTGTGAGTTGGGGTCCATCTTCAGCACTTGACCAGGAAGTTGATCACCTCTGTTAGACTTCACTTGTTACTTGAGTCAGCCGGAGATGGGTTTAGGGCTTTCTCGGCTTATTCCTGAGTAAGCACGCAGCCCAAAGAATGTGCCAGATCTCCTTGATTCCAAGAAGCATGTCAGAACTTGGATCCAAGTCCGTATGAATATTAAATTCTCCAGGTTTCCTTTTAAGCTTTTGCATTGACTTACTGTTCACGCCAACTCTTCTTCATTATATAAGGCAACCTTGATGATAACCAATTTCTTCTAACTGTATTTGAAAAGCAATCTCAGAACAAAGGCTTATCACACAAGGCAATCTCTGACTCAGATCAAATACAGTCAGCTTTGCAGGTGGGGTCTTCCCGGTGAACTTCACACAGGTCAAATAATAACAGTCCTCAGAAAATGTGTCTTTGAAGACACTCCAAGCCTGTCCCGAACTTCCTCCAGGGCTGCCAGGCTGCTGGTTTGCACTGTGCCTGTGGGCTATTGGTTGTTAAGGCTACCATGAACCTCGTAAGTAGGAGACGGGAAAAGGGCAAGTTACCATCTCACAACGACCACTGTTTTTGTCAAGTTCAGATTCAGGATTTGGACGTTTTTCTTGAACAAATACTACAAGTCTTTTGTTAATTCCAGAGTTCTGAAAATGTTGATTCTGATTCTGGATAGATTTTTTTATTGCTTTTATGGAGAATTTTTATGTCTATACTCCATCATTTTGGCTCTTATTACCCTAAGTAACTCCCAAACATAGTTTTGAAACCATATGACCTCTGGCTAAAAAACAAAACAAAACAAAACAACTCTAAACAAATACTGAGCTTTGGCTACTCACTTTTATTTTGCAGAGGCATCATTTAGCAATTCTGAAATGAACTTCTGTGTATTCTAGGATTAGGCAAATATGTAAATATATTGTGGATAATGGGAACCAGTCTTCTCATTATTAAAGAACTGACTTATATTACAAGGGCACAAGAGGCCCCCACTGGCCAAATTAAGCATCAAAATACATAATGAAAGGCTTCTATTTCTGACCACTATGAAATACTAGGGACTGGATTTGTCCCTCCATATTAAACAACTAGAAAAGTGGACAAAATATACAGAACAACGGCTTTCTGACAATGGACCAAGATGGCACAGGATAGTAATAGCTGAAGGACATACCAGTGGGTGCTGGAACAGCTCACTGCCTTAAGTGTTTCCAAACTATAACGCAGGGGGAAGGAATCTCAGAAGAGCTCAGTGGCCTTGCTCAAGTGAAGAAACAAGAGTTCAGAGTTTAGGCAGGCTTATGTTACTAGAACCTTGAGGCAAAATATGGGAGGAAGGAGAAATGCAGAGAGAGAGAGAGAAAGTGAGCTGGAGATCTGCAGAAAGGTCCTCTCAAGTCTTTGGTGGAAGACTGAGCTGTGCAATGTGTATGAACAATCTATTAAGGCCAGGGAAAAAACACTGGGAAAGAGTAACTGCACCTTACCTAAGCTGCAGACACAGCTGGTGTTCTTACCATCCACCACAGGAAGATTCCCTAATAGACACAGCATCAGGTGCAGTTCTGAGAGTGTAATGCCTCAGTAGTGAGCCCCATGAACCTTAGACCAGGGTTTTTCAATTTCAGCACTGTTAACCTTTTGGGCTAGAACATTTTTTGTGTGTGTGTACCATAGAAAATTGAGCAGCATCCCTGGATTATATCTTCTAGAAGTAAGTAACCCCTCCCCAACCCTTGCAATAACTCAAAATATCTCCAAATTTTGCCAAATGTCCCCTAGGGGGAAAATATCCCAAGTTGAGAGCCACTGAGGGGCGGAGACCACATGGGCTTGGGGCCACATGTGGTCTTCTGAATCCTGGAGTGCAGTCTTTTGACTGGATCCAAATTTTATGTCAATTGTTTTAATAAACACATTTGTTCTATGAAGTTTGGATTTGATTGAGGGGCTGTACTTGGGGACCCAGAGGGCCGCAGGTTCCTTACTCTTTCCAGTTGGGGTTGGAAGTCTTGGGCATACTTGGCCATCTGAAGGACAAATACTCCCAGCCTCAGAGTTTGGTAAATGCTTGGGAGCCAGAGACGTTTTTCTTTTACTTTTTTTTTATCAGTCTGAAAATACATCAAAATAATAATTTAAAAGAAAAAAAAGCACAAAAATAAATTTTGCATTTTAACATAGCCAAAATCATTTTCTTTCTGCATAATCTCTCAAATTCCATTGCTCCAGTCATCTAAATTCTTAACTTTTTAAAACAGAAATGACTCTTGAGAGCTTGTGAATTCAGGCTACCCAGATGACCTTCCCTGCCATTCACAGCACTCATGTGCAGGAAACCTGAAATTTAGTTAGTGTTACTTAAACAAGAATGTTTAATTCCTCCCAGAGTAGCAAAAGTGAAATATTTGAGATTTTTAAAATCCTGTTTTCCTTTTAAATAATAGTACTGTTATGTATAAAGTAATCCCTTCAATGAGTCATCGTATGACCTCTCTGCTTGGCCTTTAGCAGAAACACTTTCTTACTTTCTTCAGAATTTCTTATAAATTATAATCTATGACTTCTCAAAAGAAGTTTTTTAAGAGTACGTGGTCAAATAACTAAATATACTTTATTTAGCAGAAATATTTATATACAGTGATATAAAACTGATTTTTGATTGTGCTGCTACAATTAAACAACCTGCCTAAATAACTGAAATACACTTAAGAAATCTTAAACTATCTTGGAAATCTATTTTAGAATAGTCAGAAAGTACATGAGCATAAGTACTGAAACTTTTATGTAATCATCTATAACTTTTTCTTTTGAGACAAAGTCTTATTGTCTTGCCCAGGCTACAATGCCACAGTGTGAACCTCGCTCACAGCAAACTTAAACTCCTAGGTTTAAGTGATCCTCCTGCCTCAACCTCCTGAGTAGCTGGAAATACAGGCGCTTAACACAATGCCTGGCTAATTTTTCTATTTTTTCTTTTTTTAGTAAAGACTGAGTTTTGGTGTTGCTTAGGCTGAGCTCAAGCCCATTCTCCCACCTTGGCCTCCCAGAGTGCTAGCTAGGATTACAGGTGTGAGCTATCGCCCCCAACCATTAACACATATATCCTAACTTTTAACAAAAGTGATCTATTTTAAATAGTTACAATTTCCTGATATTTGCCCATTATTTTAAATATATGTTGACATTTATTTTCAAGGCAAAGAACGCAGCCAAACCAGTAAAATACACTTCATGACAAGCATAAATGAATCTGAAGTCCTTATGATTCCTGATTCCTTTTATTGAGGAAATGGTCTGAGGGATATTATTAAAAATCAACTTAAGTATGTACATGATTTGTGAAAGGCTTATGTACACTTAACGTGAATTTACATAGGAAAAGAAAAACAAACAAAATTCAATAACCCCTCTAAAGAAACGTATTCAAATGCAAATTAAATAACAGGCTCATTTATTAAAAAAAAGGAAAGTAAGTTTTAGTTGAAGAATTTCATAAAAAGAGACATTAATCAATCTTCAAATGTGATTTTTTTCCCCTGAAACACAGCAATTTTAGACTGCTGTTCTTTTCGCCTTCTGCTTGCTTCCCATGAAGGATGAAGAGGCTGCTGCAATTGCTCTTTTGTGTTTTTAAGTCCTCGTTGTGCATTTTTATTAAGCTGATTCTTGACCTGGGTTTCATTTTGTGGAAAATCTGGAAAGAGAGCAGAAATAATAAAAAATACCTAAAGAGTGTATGGGAGGACAAGAGAAACAGATTTCATTTTCAAACCAATATTAAACAAAGAAATTTTGTTTGTTTAAATGGAATATCTCAGAATTTAAAATTCCAGTGGAGAATTTGAAACTGAACATTCATAGGTGAGTAGACATCTTTGGGATACATACCTTCTAACCCTTGTAAGTAGATGTTTATTGAGTGGCTCCTAATATGCTGTGCCGTCTTATTTACAACAACATAAAGAAAGCAATGACAGGACAGCTGACATAGAAGGCCTCAAAGGGAGGCATATTTTCAAAAGAATATCATTAGTCTATAAAATCTGTGTATGGGGCCGATGTAGCCAGATAATTGACATCTTAGGTAAGATACTGGGTCTGACAATGCTGATGGTTATTTATTTATGTTTAAAGGTCTATTAATTGATTCCTTTTCTTTTTGTTACTGACCTAAAAGTTAGTTTACAAGGCAATTTACTAAGTTTACTCAAAACTATAAGATAAAACTTCCTTTTTTTTTTTTTTTAAGTTTTAATGTTATCCTTCAAATTTAAAGTTGGAAACTTATTTTCTAGCCCTCTTATCTTTTACTGTAAGGCACTTTCCATAATTTAGAACAAAATCCTACTCTCTGGGAAGACATACTAGTATGAAAAGACATGAATCAATGTGTATTTTAGATGCTGCTTAGAGAGTTCAGTTGATGGAATCAGAGTAAAAAAGGGAGGTAAAAAATGTAACAGATTGAGAACATCCTCAATGTTACATCCTAAGGATATCTAATTTCTCCATTTCAAGTTAGTTATCACTGTCAAAACCTTTTTAAAGAACTCTAAAAAGTAAATGTCATAATGTATTGTAAGTAAGTACACACTTTGGGATAATATTTCTAAAACATCATATAAACAGAATCAAAACGCCTTATATCTTGTATAAATCACATGTGCTCTAGAGATCTGTCATAATATTCAAAGAGTGGCTCTAATGATAAAAAGTTTAAATGAAATTGTTTAATGAAAACTGAGATTTAAAGAAGGTGGTTATTTTTTATGTTACATAAAGTTGTAAATAAATTGATAAATATTTTAAATATACATGCTAAGCAAAAGAAACCCTTTTTACCTGGATCTTTTCCCTGGGAGAATGTGAGAGTGCCTTACAGTAGTTATGGTTACCCTGAGCTTGTGAATACATGTGAACGAGACATACTGCATTGTTTCTGCCCAACCCATTTTCTTTTCCTTATAGTCATACAACCAGAATATAGTTTCCACTCCCACTTCAGTTAAGTGAGGCCATATAACTAACTAGGTTATGGCCAAGGAAATGTGAATAAAAGCCTGGGCCAGGGGTCCTCAAACTTTTTAAACAGGTGGCCAGTTTACTGTCCCTCAGGCTGTTGGAGGGCCGGACTGCGGGCCCCAGGATGAGTCGGCTGCTAAGCAGGACAGGCAGCGGTGGCAAAAAACACCGGGCAGGCCAGATAAATGTCCTTGGCAGGCCGCATGTGGTCCGCGGGCCGTAGTTTGAGGACGCCTGGCCTGGGCCATAAAAACCTCAATTCACTCTTCCACTATTCCTCTCTCTATCTATCCCCAGTCAATGAGGAACATTTCTAAGATTGAGAGGGAAGAGGCACAAGATGGAATGAGGCTTCCGGAAGCACAGACTGACAGATGAGAAGTAAATCCCTGAGGTTTGGCAGTTATTTGTGACAGCAGATAGTCCACTATGAGTGAAATTAGCAGTTTACTTTGAGTAACAGTGAAGTCCACCCCCCCCACCCCCGAAGTAGGGCACAGCCATTATAATAACATTATCTGGTCCTGGCGTAGTGGTTTGGTGGCAGGTGACAAGCTAATGGATACCTGAGACTGGGAGGTGAGCTACCTACGTGCTAAACTAACAGGTAAAACTGCAGCCAGTGATAACCTTGGAAGAGGTCAAATGCCTAAGAAATTTGCAGAACCAAGTGGTTGGAAAAAATAAAAAGATTAGTATATTGTTGGCTGTCCTTGACAAAGTTCTAGAAAAAAGAGAACTGAGTGTATGACCTCCAAACAGTAAGCTGTAAGACTAAGAATTTTTTTTTTTTTTTGAGAAGGTCTTGCCCACGCTCCGGTGCAGTGGTGTGATCAAAGCTCCCTGTAATCTCCAACTTCTGGGCTAACGTGATCCTCCCACCTCAGCCTATTGCTAGGATTACAAGTGCATGCCATCACACCTGGTTAAATTTTTAAATTTTTTGTGAAGGAGGGTTGTGCTATTGCCCAGGTGGGTCTCAAATTGCCTTCCTGGCAACTTACTATTCAGTCCTAGAACAGAGATAAGACTTAAGGTATAACTTTCCCATCCAAACTTAGTTACATCTCAATGCATCAGACACTGAAGGGGAGTAGGGATGAGAAAAACAAAAGACATCACAAAAAATAAATACGACAAATTTGAAAACCAGCTCTAGAAAGAATATTTAGTGCACTTCCTAGCTCATGATGGACTTATGGAAATAAAGAGGTCAGAAATCCACTTAAGTTTCGAGATAGTGCAGAGTGGCAGAAATCATAAGCCTGGGCTGGAAAAAAAGCCGCAACTATTAAACTTCAAACAATCTTCAGGATCTTATCTTTGTACCAGCAATTGGGGCAAACTTCAAGCAGACTTTTCAGATGTGGCCATGGAACAAAGATCCTCCTTGGCCAGGGACCATCTTTTTAGTATCAAAGTCTCCAGATTTTGAGGAGTCACATCCCTGAGATCTGCGGAAAGTCCTGCATCACCACCCAGTGATCCCGGACTTTGAGCTGGATGCAGTGACTGGATGTGACTATAGTTTGGCTTCCTTGTCTATGTGTAAGAGGGAATATGAAATTGGCTTTGGTAACAGAAAGAATGGTCAGTGGCACAAAAAAAAAAAAACTGTGTTCAAAAAATTTCACTTCCTTTTCTCCTAGACAGCCACACTTCTCTGTGGCTAGATAAAGCTACGTGATTAAATTCTGTCATTGAAATGTGAGCAGAACTGATTTCTGGCACTTTCAGGCGTGGCTCATGAAAACCTCCTAGAAAATTCTCCATGTACTCCAGTCCCTTATATTGGCAAATGGAGAATAATTGGGACAGAGCTTCTCTTTAGAGTCACAGTGGACTATGATATGAGTAGAAAATAAATTTTTATTATGTTAAGCTAGTAAAAGTCTAGGATTGTATAAGAAGTCAGCCTACCCAAACGTATTAAACTCTGATGTGTTATGAATTAATCTGGAAATACTTTTGATTTTATTCCTTGAACTTAAAAAGTAAAATACTTTTTATTGAATGCTTAATGGTATTGAGTGATTAAGATACGATTCATATAATAATTTAGTTAAAATATATTGATTTAATTTAAGAAAAGTCAAGTAGATACAATTTTTCCTGAAAAATTTTGTTCATATCTTTTCCACTGGCAGGACTCAAGGACTCAAAAACAAAATAATTATACTGCTAATTATAAGATGCTCTATTACTACTTATGTGGAACTACATTCAGGCTATTAAGCAACTACTATACTTTTTCATCCTTCCACTTTGGCAAAACATAGGTCAATTATATATGAAGGTCAGGCAGCTATCAATACATACCGAGGGTTTTGCTTTTGGGAGCCTGTTCTCTGTAATCTCTAAAAGAAGAAAAACACCATTATGATTTTTAAAAGAAATAAATATTCTGATCTTAAGATAACATAATAAAACTGATAATAATAAAACTCAAAGGACTGTCATACTCCCTCATTCCATGAGCAATCAATAAAATAATTAAGGAACCGTAGATTTTAGATACATCAAGCATTAGACTCTACTATTTCTGTGCACACATGAAGTACTTTTCTTCTTACTACCCTTATTGAGATTTCTATTCATAACTGAAAAATAGCCTATCTTGGTTAATTTGTTTTTACTCTGAGGGATTATCTAGATAAATAATATTAAAGTCTTCCAGGGAAAGAGTCACATATAACAAAAATTATTATCTTTTATGGGAAGGAGGAGAGATAGTGGGGTGTTATTTTCAGACAAGAATAAAAATGTAGCCATTTTGAGGCAGGCTACAAGGAACCCTGTATACAATTATTCCTGTATAAGGAATATTTAATTATTTTCAAGGTTCCAAAAATATTTTATGTCTTTTTGACAACTTTTGGGGAAAATTTCCTCATTGCATTCTTCTATTTCATTAAAGACTATCCTTGACTTACACATACATAAAAAACAAGTTTACTGAAGAAAACAGCTATTATTGAAGAAATTAGCTAACGATGATCTTCACTCTAAAAAGGGAAGATATCTTCTATCCGATTAGAATTACAAATGAAATTCAACTTGATTTACAATTTATAACCTATAATCTGTAATTTATTCCCAGAGAGCTGCTGTGAAACGTGGTGCCTAACAGCAGGGGTGACGGCAGCAACACCACCAAATAGAAAGCAGTTTGGACAAACTCAGGGTTAGGGCAAGTGGCCTTATGTACTGAAATGGGACCAGAGAGTAAAATGACTGATGTTTACAACAATGGTCTTGAATCACTCAGAAAAAACACAAGATTCTTTCCAGAGAGTTTTGCTTAAAAAAATGTGCGAAACATTTTCACAAGTTTTCATCAAAAACTAAAAGTTTCAAAATTTTGATAACTGAAACAATAAAACAAATTAGACGGGCATATTATTTGGCTAGAACATATTTTCTGGTGAAGATAAATGAATGTGGCACTGCCATATGCATTATTTGTATCTATTAATAGCCCATTATAAAGTTGGAGAGGGCCAAGTCTAAAAACAGGAAGAGTTGTACAAACTAGAATCATAGGTGGAGATAGCTCTTCCTTTACTGAAAGGAAATGTAGATTTTTCATATCTATTTAAAAAAGCACTATTAATTATTTCAGAATAGAAAAATATCCTTACCTTTTAGAGCCTTTAGCTCCAGATAAAGAGTAGAAAAACACTGATTCTAATCTCCTGGGTTCTGCACTTGGCTTGTTTTTGTCATTTCTTATGTCCCAGTGAGTTTCACTTGTGCCTTCTTTGGGTAACCCTTTTTGGAGGGACTTTTGTTCCTTATCTGAAGAACGATGACTACTTTCCTTCTTTCGTGTTCGTCTGACTTTCCCAATGAAGAAGTCGTCACTACTGTCGCTATCCTCAGACATGGAAGACTGTCTATAAAACCTCTCTTCTGTGCTGTCATCAAAATACTCCTTCTCCTCTTCATGTAATGCTTCGTCATCACTGTCACCACCAAGTGAGCTATCGGATCCTTTTTTTTCTTTGGTTTGACTTTGTGTTTTCATCTTGGGGGAAGCAGGTATCTTCTGGGGTTCAGGGGGAACTAGAGAACCCTTTCCCGAAGGCTTTGATGGAGGAGTTGGAAGGCCTACTGCTTTGGGTCCATGTTCCACCTTGGCCATTTTTGTCTTTGAGTTATTTATTGGTTTCTTTGCCAGAATTTTGGCTTCATTCCCATTTTGCTCATTGATAACACTAACTTCTTCCTGCTGTAACTTACTGGCATTATCATTTGAACACAAAGTGTCCTCAGAACGATTTTCCTCTGAAGCATTCTTCTGTGAATCGAGTTCGGTAACATTTTGTCGGGCTTCTTTAAAGGCTTGGACAGCAGCTAAAAGGAAGTGTGTGGTTTGTTTTAGCATCAAAACATATAAACTGCCACTGTTTCAGTATAGTACGTTTAAAATTATAAGGAAACATTCAACAGGGCAATTGGAATTTATATTAAATATGTACAATATATTTGAAATCACAATGAGATCTTGACTTCTTAAAACTAAACTTGAAAGACATGCTCAGATGTATCCATTATAAATGAAAGTTATCCTTTCTTCATGTCTTAGAGTTATGAACACATTAAAAAGTCACTGAATACAAATAAATAAAACAATTCCTATTATTATGTATTGAATATTATAAATTATGCTTCTAGACATAAAAATATCATCTAATTTTTGACAAAAACATTTCAATCTGTAAATATGTTGTAACATATATATATATAAAAGTTAAAATTATTTAGCTTAATGGCAAAACCAAAAGTATTATGAGCTATAGCAATATTTAGAAAACCAATAGTATTCAGCTTTATAACGTGTATGTCATATATATAATGTTTATATATTAATGTACTAGAATTTAAAAAACATATTTAGTTTTTCTTGACATACATGCAATGAAATTTATATTTATAATATAATGAACCCTGAAGAACTATAAAAATCTTGAAAATAAATGAATAGCCATTATCCAAAATCATATACGCAGATGCACTAAGTATATGGCTTAAAAGTCATTTAATTCATACCTTTTAGCACTTCTATTTTTTTCTTCAGAAGCGGGTGTACTGCTAGTCTGGCAACTGCTCGTTCAGTTGCAGTAGAATCTGGCTGAAAATTGAAAGAAAATGTATGGGAAGAAAATAAAAATAGCTTGAAACTATTGGAAGTGAATAAAATAAAATCTATCAAAATTCTTTAAAATTAAAGTTAGGGAACAAAATTTGTTAATATTCTCATTATATAAGTTAACAGTATAATCTATGCTAAAGATAGAGATCATGTTGCTAAAATATTATTACCTTTGACAATTAAAATGATCTCATAATTGGTTAATAAATATTTGTAGTTAGCCCATTTCCAGGACGATGCTAGGTATCATATATGATGTTAGAAAAAAAAAATAACAGCTTCTGTGTTAAAAACATTTATGATTTTGGAAACTTCATAAAGCTGGCTAATTACTGTAAATGCTGAATGTAGGTCGATAACTTCTGAATTTCTACTTCCAGCTCCAACTTGAACTATGGACCCATAGATCCAACGACCTACTTAACATCTATTTCACATATCAAGACAGAATTCTTTCTTTTCCTTTCAAAGCTGCTTCTCCCATAGTCTTTCTCATTTAATTGCATGTAATTTCTATTCTTTTGGTTTTTAGGCCTGAAACTCAAGGATTTTTTCCACTGTATGCTATTTCTCTTTCCCTTATATCTCCCAAGTCCTTCAGTAAATCCTGTGGTTCCACACCTGCAAAATACATCCAGTTCTCACCATTTCTATTCGTAATAGCTTTGCCCAAATTACCAACCTGCCTTTCCTGGACCAACATAGAAAGCTCATCCCTGGTCGCTCTCCTTTTCATTTTGCTGTCTCACAGTCAGGGTTCCATAGAGCAGCCACAGTGATGTTTAAAAATATCATCAGATCACACCGCTGCCATTCTTGCCCTTCTTTAAGCTTTGTTGCCTCTGACGTTTAGGTCATTTCAATGCAATCACCTCTCTACCTGGAACACTGCTCCTGAATACATGCACTGACTGATTATCTCACCATGGTCAAGCCTCTCCTGCAGTGTCATTCACCTCGGCTAGCACGACACTGCACTGCTATGAATGTTACTTAACGCTGCACCCTGTGAAGATGTTTTATATCTGTGAGGTGGAGACTTTCTCTCATTGCTGTAGATTCAGTGCCCAGAATAAGTAGGCACTGACGGATGGGTAACAGAAGGCAGCCAATATACATGTAATAAAGCAAATAAATAAATTTCACTAGTGTTTAAAAGCAGAGCTACCAGTTTCAAATATCTTTATTCTGAATTTACCATTCATTGTTAATAATCCAATGAAAGACTTTTTCTTCCCCAGTAATATAAACATATGAACACCTAAATAAAAGCAAGATTATGGCAGTTTACAATCTATTCCATTTGGAGAACCTATCTGGGTAAAATCACTTAAAGAAAAACTTCTTTAAATTATACCTGGTACAGATCTTATACCAGACCACCTACTGTTTAATTACCCTGTGTCCTATGTTGAATAATGTCCCTACAAAGTTATGTACCCTGGAAAACTCAGAATGTGAACTTATTTGGAAACAAAGTCTTTGCAGATGAAATTATGATGAAATTGATACAGGACAGGTGGCGCCCCAGCCAGCTCAGCCGCGCTGGGCTGGTCTCCACCTTAGTGGTGTTGGTGTGTGGCAGCCGGCAGAGGAACCAGCGGGCTGGAGCTTAGGCAAGGGGGGGGGTCTCCCTCCCCCACCAGAGGCTCCAGTAGCCAAAGGGACCAGACAACTGCTGAGGAGACAACCCAGGGGCCTTGGTGTCTCCTTCCCTTTACACTTATTACTAAATATGGAACCCCCATTTCCTATGCCTAGGTCAATTTCATGTAAGTTTCCTAGGTCTCAATTCTGTGAATGGACTGTGTCCATTCATTAATACATTCATTCACCTTGCCCCAGCAGAAGAGACTGTGTCCATTCATTTCCTGGCCTCATATAGAAGGAACCAAATACACCTATATATATATATATACCCCTAAATGGAGAGAGAAGAGACAAAAATGGAGAGAGCTTTTCTCTCCCGAATAGGGTTTTCTCTCCCTACCAGGAACTTTAGTGTTTTTGTATTCTTTTTTTGTAAATAAATTCTGTCTTGCCACTGATCTGTGGTCGGTGGATTTATTCTCAAATCACCAAGACCAAGAACCTGAAAGTCTGGTATCAAAATCATTGTGGATTAGGGTAAACTCTAAATCCAATATGGCCAGTCCCTTATAAGGGAAATGACACTTAGATATAGAGGCACAGAGAGACACAGAGGGAAGAAGGCCCTATGCAGGCTATTATAGACCTATTCGCTGGAGAATACAAGGGAGGTTCACTGAGGTGGAGAATCATGACATCACACTCAAATTTGCCATTTCAGCCTCACTCAGTTGACAACACCAACGTACCTCCCTAAAGAACTACAGATAAAATTGAGCTCTCAGTAGATGACATTTAAAGTCACTGATGCTAAGAAAGTTCCAACTAAAATATGGAAAAATGCAGAATACCCACACCTTTGGCAACATGCCAGAAAAATGCTTCCTTACTTTTTAGCCTCTTGTTGCTGTCAATCTTCATTCTCCTGCCTACCCAATCAAAACACCCTATGGTCACAAATTGTATAAAGACATCTTTGAATCTTTTTGAAAAGAAATGAAATATATATAAAAGAGGCTTGTGAAAAAGAGGGCTCATATTATACAAATTGTATAAAGACACCTTTGAATCTTTTTGAAAAGAAATAAAATATTACAAAAGAGGCTTGTGAACAAGTGGGCTCAGACTGATCCCTTCAGTAGTGTTCCCAAACACTATACTGAGATAATGTCTGCGTCTTACTTACTACTGGACCCGGTTAAAAACTCAGAAGAATGGGGTAGCACCTGTGGCTCAAAGGAGTAGGGTGCCGGCCACATATACCAGAGGTGGGGGGTTCAAACCCAGCCCAGGCCAAAAAAACCCCCCAAACTCAGAAGAATGAGGAAGGCAAGCCTTTCCACGAGAGACTTTAAATTCCTTTTCCCCTCCTGTTTCTCTTCTATCCACTTTCCTTCCTCACTTACTTCTTTCCCCTTTGTGTTTACTGAGCTTTTATTATGTGAAGGTATCACCTTACACAGGAAGACATAAGGATCACTTTTTAAGGCTCACAATGTTGCTCTAATTTAAAAGGCTAAGACAAAAACATGAATAACTAATCCAAGGGAGGATGCGATAAACTTCCTAGGAGAGACAGAAAATGCTACAGACATTTACAGAAGGAATATGAATATAGTGATATATCTTTAAAAAAAATTTATTTTGAAGCTTGAAAGTCTACTAAGAGGTAGACTGAGCAAACAGTTTTTACACCTGCATGAAAAAGTCTTCACAATATTGGGAGGTATGAAGGAAACCACAGCTTTCTTACTTAAAGTTGACACAATGTTTGCCATGGAAAATTCTCAGGAAACTGTGGTTTTCACACACCTCCAGTTTCTTCCATTTCAAATCAATCAAATAAAAGGGGGAAAACACCTCATCTTTTAATGGAAAAAATTTATTTTGGCATTTAAGTATTCAGAACACAAAAGCATTTGGTGTTCAAATCGGAAAAGAATTTTGAGGATATACCTCTGAATGCAAACAAAAAATTTAAAATATAAAGGATCTTTTATATGCAATGTTAATCCTTTGAAATGCTGCTTAAACAAACTAACTCCAAAGGAACTGGTAGAGAGAGAATATTAGCAACAATATTTTTATTATTAATTGTATTTAATTTCCATTTGAGGTTTTAGCTAATGATATAAATCCACAAATTAATATCTGTAGTATTAAAAACATTTAGTGAGATTATAGGAAAGTCCACTTGGGTAGATTATAAGAATTAAGATAAATTAGGCATGGATATTTAAGAAGTAATAAAAAATTTTTAAGCCACAATTATATAAACTCAACTAAGATTTTCCAATTAAATGCTGAAAACATATAAATGAAAGATTTTCCATAGCAGGGAGAAAGAAATATAATCTCTTACATTCTGCTTACTGGAGATTCCTATGTTAGATGAAATTTCAAAAAAAAAAAACTGGGCATGTAATACACACACACAAAATGTTATGTAAACATTATTTCCAGGCAAGACAAACACATGATAAAGCCAGTTATTTAAATGTTAATAGAAATATAATCATTCAAGCTAACTCTCTTTCAATCTACTAGAGAAAGGATGTGTTATCATTCCTTTTTTGCACGAAAGGAGGCGGACGTCATCAATCCCCTCCCCACCTTCCGCTAAGTTACTGGGTCTGTTTTAGGGGAGGATGGTGTTTATCTTCAGTTAAAGCTTACATTAAATCTCAGTTACATCCTTGCTTGGGTCACATTCCCCAGAGTTGATTAATGTTCACATTTGTTGGTCCCACAGTAGAGTATGTATGTCCTATAGTCAACTAAGGAAGAACAACCACATAAAATAAAATAGAACGAAAAATAAAAAGAAAAAATGATGCTGAACTCTATGTACTTATAATGGATTCTGGGAAAGCAGAGGCCAAAGTGAACTTCTCTATAATAGGGAAAGCAGTTAAAAATAATCTTTCCTTTTAATGTCTCAAAACTATAGGAGTCGATAACGACAGGAAGAAAGGAATACTGGAGAACATCAAAAGGGTAGAAAATAACTTTAAAAAAGTTTTTTTCGATAATGATACAATTTAATTAAAAAGCATTTGTTTTCATCACTATCTTATGGGTTCCTGGATATTATAATTTGGTGTTGGTGGTGGTACTAGTGGGAAAGCAGGGAGTAGAAGGAGAGGTTGAAGCTCAGTGCCAGGAAAGAATGTAGAACGGCTGAAGAGGCCAGGACGGCGTATTCCACTTTGGCCTTCACTTTCAAGAAGGAAAATGGAAAAGGCTGAGGACATATAGAACGCAACAGCTCCAAAGACAAACCTGGTCCAGTCTATCCTGTCTGGAGAGACTATGAGAATCCTCATTGCCATTATTGCAGATCATGGATTACTTTCATCAGCTTGACTTACTTGAAAGAAAAGTAAACGGTCAAAGAAGATCTAAGTAATCCTTTCAGGACTGTCTGCATCTACACTGTTACAAAGAAACGTTCATAGGCACGCACAGTCATGTGAACCCTGCGTCTCCGCCTACTCAGAAAGCTTCTCAACAGCTATGGATGCATCTACCTATCAATCCACCTGATCAGAGAACAGAATGCTTCTTGTGCGTCTGAAAGAACTCTTAGAAATCGTTAAGAACACAAACCAAACCAACTAAAGATTTGGGAAAAGACAGGAATGGGCACTTCAAAAAAGAGTATGCAAATTGCCAAACACAATGATGATATATCAATAAAGAAATGCAACCTAAAATCAGGTATTACTACACATGCTCCAGAATGGTGAAAATGAAAAAAAAATCCCTAAAATATAATTGGTGTACCTACTCTTGAAAACTATTGTTTATCTACTAGGTTGTACATATGTGTGATACTATGATAAAATAAGACATACAGGGTGTCTATAAAGTTCATGTGCAATTTAACACAGATTGAACACAAACTTTATGACCACCCTGTATATATGTATTTAGTCTTTGCCTTGATTCCTCACCAGAGCTCCTAAATCTCAAGTAATTTCCTAAGTGGTAAAAGTGATAGCAGTGAAAGGGGAGCATGTATTGTTATAAAATTTGGTTTTTGCCTCCAGTTCTTGAAATATGCCATATTCCATAATTAAGCAACTCCACTTTTAGGTATATATTCAAGAGGATGTTACGTCCCAAAGACAGGTATAAGAATGTTTATGGGGATGGATGTCAACAAGATGGCACACCAGGACTCTCCAACTTTCATCCCCCTTTAGAAACATCACTTTGAACCACCCACACACAGAAATACCTTTACAAGAGCTAACAATATCAGATGAGAGTTGATAGCACCTAAATATAGTACAAAAAAGATGTGTTAAAGAGGGTAGAAAGATAATTTTATATTACCCATGTACCCCTCCCCCAACCTTTGACAGCAGAGTATGGAGATACTTTTTATGTAGGGGAAAAAGGGAATGAGCACCAGACTTTTCATAGGAGGCCCAAACAGGGCACATCCCAGTAAAACCCAGCATCAGAAAGGCCTCCACAGCCCCAACTCTAAACTCGTACCCAAGGACTAAGTCTCCAGGCCTGCTTCACCAACAAGCAGGATCCCACAACAGCACGCTCTAAGCCAGACCCTGTGGTCCCAGCCTGCAGGCTGGTATATTCAGACTGAGCCTCCATGCTCACTCTGGCAGCAGGCAGGATCCTGTAGCCCAAGCTCCAGGCCTAGCCTGGGATATTTGGTTTCTGGGCCTGCTGGAGCACCAGGGAGGCCCCAGGAGCAACACTGCTCCCAGCACCAGGGTGGCTCCCCTGATCCCAGGGTAGCCCCAGCTTTAGGACAGCGTTTATGGCCCCAGCCTCCAGGCCAATCTCTGGGGTCCAGCCTCCCTGCTGATATATCCAGACTGAGCCTCTAAGTCTATCCCAGTAGGCAGGATCCTTTAGCCTCCAGGGTAGCCCTTTAAGTCCTAGGATCTAGGCCAGCACAAGCAGATAGAGGCTCTAAATGGGTCCATGGTGTCCAGGCCTGCTCCAGCAGAACTGGGTCTAAGGTCACCCCAGGGAATCCAAGATCCCAGGCCAAACCCTGTGGACCCAGGGCTTAGATTTATCCCAGGGGACCAAGGTTCTAGCCCCTACAGATCCAATCCACAGGTCCAACCCAATGAATCCAGGCTTCGGGAACAACCCAGAATACTTCAGATAAGTAGAAATCAACACAAGGAAACAAGAGACATGAAAAAACAGAGACTTATCACAACTGAAAGAACATAATAATGTCCCACAAGCTGACTCCAAAGAAATGATGATATAGAAATTATTTCATAAGGAATTAAAAATAATTGTTTTAAGAAAGCAAAATGAACTTCAAGAAAATTCAGAGAAACAATTCAATAATATCAGGAAAAAAAAGGCCCAAATGAGAAAATTAAGACTACAATTATGCATTATAAAACCCAGAAACTCTAGAGGTAAAAAATACAATGAATAAAATGAAAATGAAATAGAATGCATCAACAGCAGAAGTGATCAAGCAGAAGAAAAAAACCTGTAAACCTGAAGACAGGTTATTTGATACTATAGCGTCAGAGGAGGAAAAAAAAGAATGAAAGGAAAGATTAACACTTATAGGATTTATAGAACAGAATCAAAACAGCACATGTTTGCATTATAGGAGTTTGTGAAAGAGAAGAGAAAAACAGAGGGGTAGAAGCTTATTTAAAAAAATAAGAGCAAAAAGCCTTCCAAATTTGGAGAAGATATAAACATGCAGGTACAGAGGTCAAAGGTCTCTGGTCTCTAATCAGGGCTGGATGTGATGGCTCACGCCTGTAATCCTAGCACTCTGAGATGCAGAGCAGGTGGATTGCCTGAGCTCAGAAGTTCAAGACCAGCCTGAGCACCAGCCAGAACCCATCTCTGCTAAAAATAGGAAAAACTAGCTTGGCACTGTGGTGGGTGCTTATAGTCCCAGCTGCTTGGGAGGCAGAGGCAGAAGGATCACCTGAGTCTGGGTGTTTGAGATTGCTGAGCTATGACACGGGCACCAGGCCCTCAACCCCAGGACAACTGAGTGAGACTCGTTCTCAAAAAAAAAAAAAAAAAAAGTCTGCCAATTATGTGTAATTCAAACAATACTGTAAGACATGGACTCGAACTGTCAAAAATAAAGGTCAAAAAGAAGATCCTAAAAGCAGCAAGAAAAAAGAGGAAACTAACACATAAGGGAGTTCCAATAAGAAGAGCAGCAAATTTCTTAGCATCGACTTTACAGACGGAGAGAGAGTGAGTGCCGATGAAGAAAAATCTACCAAATAAGAATACTGTATTTGGGAGAGTTCTCCTTCAGAAATTAAAGAGAAATAAAGACTTTACCAGACAAACAAAAGCTAAGGGAGCTCATCACCACTACAACTGTCTGTAAGGAATGCTAAACTGAGTTCTTCAAGTTGAAAGAAAAGGACACTAATTAGTAACACAAACATGCAAAGTTTAAAACTCTCTGGGAAAAGGAAGCACACAGTCAAATTCAGAAATTCAGAATCTCCTAATACTATCATGATGGCGTGCAAATCACTTTAGTACAAGGATCAAAAGATAAAACCATGAAAAATATTAATAGCTATAATATTTTGTTAAGGGACATGATATAAATAGATGTAAGTTATAACATCAAAAATTTAACACGTGGAGGAAGAAGAAATAAAAGTGTGAAGTCTTTAAACATGTGATTGATACTGAATCATTGTCAGCTTTAACAACCTGCTATCATGTTTTTGAAAACTTCATGGTAACCACAAAATAAAAACCTAAAAGCACACACAAAAAAGATGAACGGTAGGGAATCAAAGCCTATCACCAGAGAAAAATCACTTAGTTACAAAGACAGCAAGCGAGGAGGAAAGTGACAAAGGAGGCAATGAACAAGCCAGTAACAGTTAATGAAAAGGCAGTAGGCAGCAGTCCAGTAGTAAGGACATAAATGGCCATAATCACCTGGAATGTGCAGGGTGTAAACTCTCCAATGGGTAAAGCAAGTCATAAATTACCATAAAATATTTCTTGGTGGCAATACTAGAACTCAGTGAGGAAAAGTCATCATATATTGATAGGAACTGGCTTTATAATAACTATTCTCTTCAATAAAATATGCAACGAGAAATTGTAAGCAATATTAAGAAGGAAGTTTTCACAGAACAAACACGTTCCATTGCACACATACCTTTTTGCAGATTTTTTCAAAGTTGATATCTTCACCAAGAGCAGATTTAGTCACTAGATCAGGTTTTAATTCCTGGAAAAGAATAAAACAAAATTAATTTTAGTGATGAGCCCAATTTTAAACTGTCATCGAGTTAAATTCCTTCACATGTCTTACTTGAAGAAACTTGATGTTAAATAAAATCTTAAGTTTTAGTAAAGACTAACTCCCTTAACAGTAAGAAATTACCATGCTACTACAAAAGCCACAGCAAAATGACTTTAAGAGCTAATGTTCCTAAGAACAACATACAAAATCAAGTCAATATTTTAAAGAAATTCAATAAGAGCAACTGTAACAAGGATTTTATGCCCAGTCACGCACTTCTTTAAATATGGAATTCTATAGAAAAACAGTTGTGCAGTGCAAGAATTCAGGGAATATTGTACAAATGTGTCTCTCAAAAGACTCTTCCAGAAAAGGAGCTTCAGCCAACAAGAGATAAGTTTGATAAAAGGACTGATGTTGAATACTATACATGTCTGTACAGCTCAGACCAAAGTAAGTATGGAGGTATAGGAGAAAGGACAGTTGGTAAACTATATATATATTCTGACTCAGTAGAAAAAACTGTAACTTAAAAAAAGAAGGTGGAAGCTGTGTGTGGTTGCTCACGCCTGTAACCTATGCGGGTGGGAGGTGGAGGTGAGGAGATCACTTGAGGCCAGCCAATTGAGACTAGCCTGGGCAACAAGTGAGAGCTCCCCTCTCTAAAACCAATTTAAATAAAAAAGAATTAGTTGGGTGTGGTGTTGTGCTCAGGAGGCTACAGGGAGAGAAATGCTTGAGCTGGAGACTGCAGTCCACCACCTACTCCAGCCTGGGTAACAGAGACTTGTCCTGGGGGAGGGGGATGTAGAGGAGACAGGAAAGAGTAAGATCACTATTATCTAAGCTGCATAAATAGGCAGAGGTTAAACGATATCATTTAAAATAGATGACCGGAAAATAAAACATTATATAAAAATGGCAAAATAAAAGTACAATGGTAATCACAAAAAGAAAATATTATCGTTCCTAAATATAAAAAAAGGGGGAGGAGTTAGACTGCAAAAAAGATACATCAAGTACAGAAAACAGTAAATACAACATAAAACACTCAGTAATCAGAAAATAAAACAAACATCAGGAATATAATTGATCATGAATGAGTTTAATGCTTATTAGAAGAAATAGATTTTTAAACTGACTGAATCACAAAGCAAAGCCTAACTCTGCGCTATATATATTTTAGATAAAGAACATAGTTATTTAAAAAGGCTGAAAATACAAAAATGTTAGAAGATATACCAGGCTGAAATTTAGCAATGAAAAAAGTGTTGAGATTGTGTATTAGATAAGGAATTCAGGCAAAGAAAAAAAATTAAACAAGACAGAATATATGACTGCAAATAAAAGACGGCAGCTATTATGAAAAACAGACAGTAAAGGAAATTAACAAGTAGAGACACCAGATAATTAATTAATGCAGTATCTGCATAACTTGTTAAAGTTTCGGGAAATGTGACACAAGTCATAGGCTTTATTCTTTGCTTGTATAATTACAACCTTCTACACGTTAAAAGTCATCAACACATTGCTGGCTTTACTTAAATGAACTTGTTGATACTTAATTCAAATTCTTTAACATTAAATGCACTACTAGCAAAGTCTTAAGCATTATTATTAGATGGAAGGTAAGGAAAACTAGGAAAATTCTCAAAAACTTTGGCAGAGCTTTATCTTTGTTCTCATTTTGATTAGAACAATTTCTATAACCTCTATACATTGCTATAATCTCTTTAAAGATCTACTTATGTACGTGCATGTTAATATTTGAAACATGTTACTGACAGCCTGTACCAGGCTTTATATAAAAGAGCAATCAAAATACAGACTTTAAAGTTTGACATAATATGCAAATTATCTGACACAGTAACACAAAGGAAGGTATGTTCATAATAGACGGTTAAAAACTGATTAAGTACTGTATCGACATGAAATAAGCACAATAATTTCTGTTCGGTGTCAATAGTCTTCATGGTGAACAATAAAAAAATACAAATGACTGGGGAGCTTTCTCCAGTTGCATGAATCCTTTTGCACGTATGCCCACTTTCCCCAGTGAAACCACTGTTAGTAAAGGGTGTGGCTGTGACAGTCATTCACCCTGGTTTTTTAAGAGTATGTAAGGTGGTGGAAATGCCAACCTGATAGCAGATGAAACTACAAAAACTTAAAAACAACCATAGTCTGTGGATAGAAATAAGGGTGAGAGATACATATGCTGAGGAAAAGGGGGTCCACTATGAGAAAAGCTTTGAATATTCACAAGGAATCAGACCTCATCTGGCAAACAACCGGAAGGTAATTTAGGTCTTGAACAGGGGACTGATATGATGAAGTCAGTTTACTACTAAGAAATTTTACTAGTGTCAGGTTTTTGCTGGCAGCCAGTTAAACAATTACTGAATGTCTACAAATAGCCCTGTCTCACTTTAGTTCCAAGTTGAATTTCATGTCAAAAGTTGAATTTTCGTATCTAAACTCTAAGCTGACTGCATTTTTAAACTATAAATTATCTTCATTGATAAATGAAAATAATTATTTCAGTGAGCAAAAGCTAAAAAATTTGCACAATTCTATGGTTCAAACATTTGCATTTCTTTTTAAAATGGATATTAAGCATAAAATCTAGCAAAAGATTTAGTCAAACGAAGTTCCAAACCCTCTTTATAACAGTATAGTATTATAATAATATAATAGCATAATAGTATAGTATAGTCCTATCTCTCACAATAGAAGTATCTTTTAGAAAACAAGCAAAATAGCTTATTTAACTCAAGTGATTAAACATGATCACTTATTTTTTATGCCAAGTAAAAATATCTAAACTGTACTCAGCACATAAAATTATTTGTTTCTGTCATGTTCAAAGAGGTAGGCAGAGAAAATGAGAGCCAGAAATGACATCAGTCTGAAGATTCTATGCAGAACACTTCTGCATTCTAAGGAATGAATCAGAATAGACAGATTATTTTTAATTCTGGAGATTAAAAAATGATGAGCCTGGGAGAGAAAAGTTAATTGTTTTGAAGTAGAATCCAAATATCAGGTTTAAAAAGACTTAATTGGGTAGAAAACTCAAAAGGAGTAAATAAAATATTTAAAGCTATTTTTATATGTCTTTTCAGGATAGCAAGTTAACAGTAAGTGGGGGGGTGAGAGGTGAGAGGTATGTATTATTTGTTACTAAGGTGCATATCAAATAAAATGTGCAAAATCACAGCTTGATATTAACATTTTTGTTCCTGAAATTTTTTAGCTACATCTTTTTGCAAGTTTAATTTTCTTTGCCTAATTGCAAAGAGTTAAAGAAAAAAACAAATAAGCAAACAATACCTTAAATTTGGTAAGACCATCTCCCATTTTTCCCTCCACAGTGAATTACCTAGGAAATTCATCAAAAGGCTTTAGGGAAATTATATTAGGTGACTGAAGAAATCTTTCCCTCTAAGTTTGGAATCATAGCTAAGATGTAGGGACATATTAAAAGAGATATAGAGATGAACTAAAAAGGATTCAGGAATATGTTAAAAGACAGTGGTCTTCAAGTAAAATAGTAAGACACAGTCTTTCAAAACCTGTAGGAACTCAATCCATTTGTTATTGCGAGTTCTAATTCCATTGAAGTTATTTTCTTTCTTTCTTTTTTGTTGTTTTTGAGACAAATTCTTACTTAGCTCGCAGCAACCTCAAACTCTTGGGAGCAAGAGATCCTGGCCTTAGCATTCCTAGTAGCTTGGACTACAAGCATGCACCACCATGCCTGGCTAATTTTTTCCATTTTTGTAGAGATGTGGTCTCGCTCTTGCTCAGGCTGTTCTCAAACTCCTGAGCTCAAAGGATCCTACCACCTCCACCTCTGAAAGTGCCAGGATTACAGGCGTATTTTTTTTTAGAACCTTTAAGTTTCCAGAAATCTTTTCCAAGGGCATATATGATTAATAAAAGCCATACTTCCTTCTTTTTATTTTTTTCATATTTCCTTCTTAATTATATTCCCATGTGTTAACAATCTAACAAGTCTTTGTCAATTAATCTAGCACCACATTATATTCAAATTCATTTAAAATAAAGTGTCAAATTTGGCAAGGAATGATGTTATTTGAAACCTAATCACTGCTACAAATTCTTGGTCCCAAGACAATTGATTATTTTGATATTTAGCTTCCAGATATTATTTCTAAATGTTAAACGCACACACAAAATCCTTTATGTATTACCAGGTACCCTCTATTTTTGGAAAGACCCAACTGTTCCAATTATACCAAATTATAAACAATTCTTACTTTTTAAGAGGCAATGATGATACATTTCATTATTTTCACTTTTGAATTAAAGTGAACATTAAAAGTACAATGCAAAAGCACATCAATAGTTTATAATACCTCACTATTCCTGATAAAATTGTGTATTTAATGCTTAATGTAAGAAAGGTTAGAAATACAGGCTAGAATTAGATAAAACTAGACTGAATCCTGGCTTTGCCAATGACTTAAATCCTCAGTTTCCACATCAATAAAAAGGGGATTAGAGATAATATATGTAGCCATAGCGAAGAGCCTAGAACAGTAATTAATACCTAAGAGTATTACTCTTTTGTGAGCCACGCTCTTCCTTACAAAGTTGAGCTTCCCAGTGCTATAAATAACACAGACGTCTAAGACGTACAGTCTGTTGCATGAAACAGTATCTGTGCTTTTTCACTGGAATTCAATCAATATCGAGAGAATGATAATCAGTAGCATTAATATTTGTGATTAAACTGTCACATTTTTCTGAAGCCATCACTGAGTACTAGGTAGAAGTAATTTCTTGTTCTTTTAACATTTTCAAAGCATCTGTTATAACTTATCTTGTTTTAAAAACTGTGCATACCAGCTCTCCTCTGTGATTTTGCTCAAAAATCCAAAACTTTTTGAGCGCCAACCTGATAGTTACAGAAAATGCTCACTCCAGTATTTTGAATTTCAGATTTTTGAATTTTGGAC